TTTTCTAAATTCGTTTCGATATCCACACAAAATTACCGTGTGATAAGACTTTGACACAAAGATGACAAGTGTGTACAGGTGCTCGTTGTATTCGTATGTTGCAAGAGTGTTGGCCGGTATGAACAAAATCTTGCCAAAAGAATGTTGGGTAGATGTTCTATAAATCGACCAGACGAATTCTATCATTTTTTCCATATATAATTCTTCTTACTGATTGGGTTGTAGGTCTTTTGAGATCAAGAATAAATTCTAGGGAAACCTCTTTCTTCTCTGTTCAGTCGACCCAACGAAGCTCGAAATGGTCATATCCGTTCCATAATTAAGATGTCAATCTGTACCTTCGAAGACGTGTTATGTGGTGGCTCCAAATTTGAGAAAGCTGGAGTCGGCCTGATTCCTCGTGGAAGCCAACCACGACCTGGTCCCTGCCCACATCGAGCAAAAACTTGGCCAGAAACCACTCCCTCCCATTCGTGATAAATCCTCTTTAAGATTCAAAGGAGACTATAACAATGCTGTTTCGTGTTCAAGCTCCGAACATTTACGACGTCAGGTACGCCTTCTCTACATCTAGTCCCTTTTCTCGTGTTGAAGAACTACGATCTCATTTCGAAATGATAGGCCTACTCCTCAAGAGTTGCATAGTCAAGCAGAGCGCTCGCTCGGTGATGCTCTCGCGCGGGGAGATGTGACCACGGCAAAGGGTTTTATCAAGTCGGTAATAGGCAACAAAGATACTCTGCAAATCCAAAGAGTTCTCTCTTTCTCCAACCCGCGCAGTCCATCGAACCCTTTGGGGTACGTGTTGACCAACGAGCAGCGCTTGGAATTTTTGCAACAGTTGGATGTCGACGCGTCCGACATGATGAAGACGCTGCTGAAAGACCCCAATTGTTTTACTCCAAACATAAACTCGAGAACATTTTCCGAATTCTGGGTCATCTTGGACACGAGGCCGTTCATCCGAGCGCTTATAACCCTCGCAACGCTTTGTGAAGAAATGGGGGAGTATCAATTGGCCTACGACTACGATCTGCGCATTTTGACGTATAATTTTCTCGATAATAATGGTGTACGAACCAATTTCAACCTCTTGCAGACCTTGCTCGGACGTGACCTGGAGGCCTACAACTTTTGCTGCCACCTTCTGGACGAACATTTGGACTGGAATAGCCAGGAAAGAAACTACAAGGGACAAGACTACCCAAGAATCCGGTTTAACAGGTTCAAGAAAGAGGACATTGACCCGCAAGATCCTACGATCTATGGTAGCCCTCAAGACCTCTCACGCGCCGATGCATCTATTTTCTTCACGGGTGCTCTCGTGTTATTCAAGATGTTTGGACCCTGCCCTAAGGCAACCTCATGGCTTGCGACTGGTCACCGCAGGAACTCCCATATCCTTCCTATCCTCCTGCACCCTGACGCCCCATCTTATCCCAAGAAGCGGATGCTTTTTTCACGTGCGAAGGGAACCTATATAGAAGCCGTTGACTATGTCACCTTTACCAAGAAACAGTTTTGTGCTCAGCAGGTCCAAGCTTGGCTCAGGCTCGCCAGCAGCTATCTTCCGAGACGCCAATGCGATTCTCCAAGATGCGGAAAAATCGAAAATTTTCTGGGAGAGTGGAGGAGATGCACAGGTTGCTATGAGACATACTACTGCGGTAGCGAATGTCAGAAAGAGCATTGGAAGCTGCCCGGAGACCTGGGGCATAAGAAACCGTGCAAAGATATCGCGATGCTCAGACTGTTACCTTAGGTGCTTTCACCTTATCTCTAAATATTTCGTCTATTTATTCACCCCATTCTGCGCCCTAGATCATCCAATGAACCAATACTTTCGAGATAGTAGCCACCAACAATGTGAGTTGGCCAACTTCCTCATTCACTCTGACTCATCATAACGCAAAGTAGAACAACATAATCATAATAAATCTATAACTTATATCATACAGCTTCTCCAAAGTCAAGAGGCTCCAGTGTATCTAACGAGAGTAGTCGCCGACCGATATGTACCATAACTAGCGACTTGACCCGTATCTTAAATTCATCCGGTATTCCACATAGCGACCCCATGTGATGAGACTTTGATGCAAAGATAAGAAGCGTATGAGGGTGCTTGTTATGCTCGTCCACGAGCGGAGACTGAACTATCAAGAACTATGGAAATGACAAAGGATACCGAGTTGAGCAGTCAGGTAGTACAGTTATATATAGTAAACTCACTTTTTCTTTCACCTCAAGGTAGCGTGCTAGCCTCCTGGACAGTCCTTCACTTCGACCCCCCTTCCCATGGTGCTCCCAAGGCATCAAGAATGCCCAACTCCCAACTTGCTTTCTCACTTGACTTGTCTCTGGTTTGTCAAGCCTCCACGCATTTGTTCCGTCGGTCACAGTGAACAGCAGCTCTTCTGCTCTGCTACAGTCAGCGACCAGGGGAATTACCCCGGTTCTTTCTTCTTCTCCTAACCTCCATCCACCATCCGAGTTCCTCTCTTCTACAGCTTGGGACTTCAGGTAAGCCCGTTCAGTCTCGTCTTTACTGTTGCTCCAGTCAAGCCAGAGGCTGTATATACGCTTCGACGAGATATCTTGAGCCACTTGATGATATTGCGGGACAAGGTCTAGAAGAGCCATCTTATGTTGTACCCATTCGACTTCAGAGACTGAACCTCGTCGAGTAGGGGTGTTAGGTAGAGATGATCTTGCATCGTCGTTCTCTTCTTTTTTGAGGATCTTGCTTCTTGGATACCACTGCCACTGATGCTTTGACCAGTCTTTGAGCATGAGCCGAAGCGTGTGCTGTTTGGAGAGGCGAAGGAGAAAAAGAGGCGGAGCTTCGGGATCAGGAGCCGGTAGTGTACCCCAGTCAGGGAGAAATTCCTCCACAATCTCTGTAGTACTGGCATAACGAACGTATGGTTAGGTTATGATTCTGATGGCAAGGCTTGGATATATCATGCTTACGTCGTTGGCTTGGAAATCATGCCCCAACGCTCGCGCCTGAGAGCATTTACTGCTTCTTGCTGCATGTCTTCTTCTCTAATGATTTACGTGTTAACATCAGATATGCATCAGATATGATTGGCCTCACCTGGCATCTGGGACATTGTTCTGTTCCTCATCTTCAAAATCTTCTAGATCGTCTGCGTTGGTAACAGGTATATAACTGACAGAGGTTCCGGGCGTTTGAATGGCCGGAGTATTGGAATCTGGTCGAAAGGTAGACGTGGTTGAAGACAAGTTCAACGACTTTTCAAGAGCTTTCTTGGCCGCCAAATCTGATCCAGCACTTGTAACTGCATTGAATTTGGTGACCCCTCCGTCTCTCCCTCTCACAATAGCTTTTCCTCTAACTGCAGTGAAAAGGCTTGTGGCGTTTGGTTCGATTCGACGTTTCTTGGCTTGCTGCTTTGGTTTGTCCTTGGCCGGACCATCTATCATATCTAGCGCCCTTTTGCGGCCCGGTTTGGATATTCGCTTCGTGAGGATGACATTAGACGTTGGGGGTTCTGTGGTGGGATAAGGATCGGGAATCGGTGCTGGGGCCTCGCTAGCGAACGAGTTCAGATGACCTTGGTCGAAATCAATACCACCACGACCTCCATTATCTTGTCCATCAGATGCGTTAAACAACGAGTCTCTGTCCGACTCTTCATCATGCTGACCTCCTGCATGGTCATCGTTCCTTGTTACATCTGCCGCAGGTGGTCTGCTGGTCCTTTCATCCTCGCTTATTTCGATATCTCCAGTCAAGTCTATAACCTCATCCATAGTCAAGTCGATAGGTCCCGAGTTATCATTCTCCATGTCATCATTAGGTGGGATAGGCCCAGGGCTCGAATAGTGCCCAGGTGAATCCGGAGGGGTATTGGATGTGAGATCTATTCCATTTCCTCTGGCTTCTCTCAATAGAGACTCTACATTTATGCCCATTTCTTGCTTTATTAGAGGTTCGCGTGAAGCCAACTCGCGTCTTCGTTGGTTTCGCCGGGATGCTGGAGTAGGAGCGGACTGTTTACTCGAGTTTTTATCGCGCTCCAATTGGCCTGGAAGGTTTAATCAGTTCTCTGAACTCTGGCTATGTTCTATCCGTGGCCTTACCGAGATTTTTTCCCCTTGCGTCAATCACATCCCCTACTTGAGCCTGCCCGAGCGTTGTTCTCGTACAAATCTTCTGCCTTATCACAGGCCATACTTCCCGGTACATGTCCTTAACCTGT